AACCTAGCCTTTCATGATGTTGAAAAGCAACGGTTTATCAGCGGCCGGAAAGAGATGGAACAGGTGGGGAACATTGTTAGATACCGAATATAGAGGATATTGAATATGACTTGTAGTTTATTTTGTATGAATTGCAGCATTATTTGAATTAAGGGTGCTAATGGGGTCTGATTAACAGCCTTTTTCTCTTGAGCCCACTCTAGAACCTACATTTCGTATTTAGATCTATTAGTGCACCGAGAAATGAACTGCTGGTCTATACAATTAGAGGATGTTCCTGAATATACAGACAAACAGCACGTAATGTTGTGAACAACTTCAATGACAAATGTTCAGCAGTGCTTCCATTTTATTTACAACAATACAATGCCTACGAGATTGTTCCAACGGTAAGCCGATGGATGTGCCCAAGCTGTGCCGAAGCACAATGTGCTGAGTGACTTACCCCTTGGGCAAACTTTTAATTTGATCATGCAATATTTTTATAGCAACAATTTTTGTTCTTTGTGTGTACGCTATACATGGTAACCGCAAAATACCCAATAATGACTATAAAAGACTCGATATTGACTACACACTTAATCTAGCTCGGTAAAATCTCCAACAGCCGATAACCTCGGCATTAACTTTTGCTGATATCTCTGCAAAACATCTGTTTGTTAGCTGATATCTTAGCAAAATGTTATTTGTTAGCTGAGTATCGGCAATTGTTTTACTGAATCTCAGCAAAATAAATTGCAGAAATACTCGGCTGTTGGAATCTCGGCGAAAAGATTTAAGTGTGTACAAAGTAAGCATTTTCGAGGGAGACTGGGACTACCCATTAAATGAGTTAAAATATTACCCACTTATAAGTATGTGTTACTCAAAAATGAATACTTACTACTTATTTTTGTAGTTGTAATTACTCATAAACGGGTAAAATTTTACTCATTTACTGGGTAGTCCCAGTTTCCCTCGAAAATGCTTACTTTGTAGTCATTATTGGGTATTTTGCGGTTACCGTGTAGTGCCGACATGAGTGGAAAGAACTTTCTTTTAGGTGCCTTTTTCTTAAGCCTGGTACGCAGCTGAAAAGAAAACGGAAAAGTAATTTTTGAGGATTTTTCCCAAAAGAAAATTTGACAGCTATAGGCAGCTAAATTTTGAGATTATAGGGAGATGTCGTCAAATTGTAAAATCAACGCTTATTAGTGTTTATGTTGTTTAAATGCATCCAAAACATCAGTTTTGCAATAAACGCCAACATTACCTAACGGAATAATTGATCAGACCATTATTCCGCAAGGAAAGTGAAATTGCATTCAGAATGCGCCACCTTCATGTCGATCACGATACTAATGTAATCGATCTTTCCTTTACCGATTTCTTTTGAACTGCGTACTGGGTCAAGAAATGCTGAGGAAAAGTAATTTCTTTTGCATTCCGTGTCCTATCCCGTAGCACGTAAAAACGTCATTACTTTTCAGCTGCGTACCAGGCTTTACCGTGTATGTTTCCGTGTATTCAGCTCTTTGGTAAAACTGGTCAAACAATTGAAAACGGGCTATCAGCTTTTGAAAACAAATCTTTGTAATTACCACGTGTGTAATTCCTCGCAATCGTAGACCGCACGCGCAAACCAATCTAGGGAAACTAAACCCTTAACGACTATACTGTTGGTTTGCGTGGGTGGCCTACGCTTTGTGAGGAAAGGACTGACAAAATTTGTTCACACAAGCCGATAGGCCCTTTTCAACCCTTCACGTTGGAAGTTCTTTGATTTTCTTTTAACTTCTCGTTTGAAGTAAAGAGCCTAAATTTATAAAGAGGCTATATGTCAAAATTGGAACAATCGATTGTCTGTCAAAGTCATAGGAAAAGTCATTCCAATCGAGCAGAAGACCTGTCAAATGGATAAGATGTCGTCTCTTTATAAATTCAGGCTCTTTAGTTTGAAGTTCACTGTACCACTCCTTGACAGTTCTCTGAATTTGTCAGAACCGGCGGCTGTAGTGATCACGTCTTCCTTCGGAAGGGAAGTAGAGCCATTGGTCCCGGCCCATGCGTGTTTGAATGGATCCGATATCCTATGCAGGTGTGGAAGCTGCCTTCCTGCACATTCGTTTGCCGTCAATGGATGGCAATCGATGTCCGTCGGTGATTGCCACTAGATTGCAGAACAGAGACCGACGTCAAATAAAGGAAAGAAGAAAAAGTAGAAGATTCATTCGACAGAAGTTCTCTGATCCTCTTCTCTGAAGCTATGAGATCCTCTCCTCGGAACTCTCCTTGGAAGATCTCTAAACTTCTAGTAAGAGAGAAGTTTATTGTCGTTGGAAGATATTCTCTGAACCTGAACCGGAAATTCCCCATATGGAAGTTCTCTGAATTTCTCGTCGGAAAACCTTCGAAACTATGCTCAGAAGTTATTTGAATACCTCGTCTGAAGTTCTTGTCAGAAGATCTATGAATTTATAGTAGGATGTTCTTGGAAGTTCTCTGAACTTCAGGAAACTCGAGAACGTCACGGAACTTCTGACAAGTTTACGGAACTTCCGACATGTTTCGACGAGAAGTTCATAGAACTACTGACGAAAAGTTCAGAGGACTTGCAATGAAAAGTTCAACGAATTTCCAGGGAGAAGTTTAGAGAACTTCCGACTAGATGTTCAGAAACCTTCTCTGAGATTCGCTTCGGAATTTCCTCTCGGAAGATTTCTGAACTTCTCGTCAGATGCCAAAACCTCTCCTTGGAAATTCTTTGAACTTTTCGTCGGAAGTTCTCTGAATTTCTTAGAATGTCTCTGCTTGGAATTTCTCTGAACATCTCCTCGGAATTTATCTGAACTTCTCTTCAGAAGTTCTCTGAACTTCTGCTCGGAAGTTCTCTGAACTTATTGGCGGAAGTTCCCTAAACATATCGTCGGGTGTTTTCTGAACTTTTCGGCAGTAGTTCTCTGAACGAGAAAGCTACAAATTTGCAAAAATTTACATCGAAAAATTTTTCAGCATCAAGCTGAAAGTTCTCAGAACTTCTTCTCTGAGTTCTTGTCGGATGCTCTAAACTTCTCCTTGGAAGTTCTCTGAATTTCTCGTCGTAAGTTCTCTGAAATTGCCGGTAAATCTCATTTTCAATGAAAGGTGTCAAGCGATATTTACAGAGATACTTCTGACACAATCATCGGATGAGAAAACAATGAAAGAGATCTTCTTCCAAATCTTATCGATTTTTTTTTTGCCATGGCAGAACGTGACAGTGTCTGTGGTGTTGGGGTCATTGCAATTACTAGCTCATTTATTGATATTATTGTTATATGTACCGCGACATGCTTAATAATATATTTACTCAACATATTACATACTGTTGCTTGTCTAAATTCATCTAAATTAGCTTGAAATTTAGATACCGAAACCGTATGGAAATTATTCTCATGAGTGCATGAACATTAGAAAGTGACAAGAAAGCTCATGATAGTGAGAGAACAGGTTTTCTCATTGTCCGTGATATTTACCAGCTCTGCCTCGCAGTTCATTTGAGCAGATGTTCTCTGAACTTCTCTGAATTTCTTATCGGAAGTTCTCTGAACTTCTCGTTTTCCGAGAATTTCACGGAACTTCCAACAAGTTCACTGATTTGAGATTAAAGTTCCTCGTGAAATGCTGGGAAGTTTTCTCAGAAATTGTAGGAAATTTTCAGTAGTTCCCTCCTGACGATCCCTCGAAACTTCGCTGAAGTTTCCTCGAAACAACTCTGAATTTCTCTCGGATGCCTGTGAAGTTCCTTTATAATTTCTCGAAAGGTGTGAGCGAATATGCTTCCGGAAATTATCTTCCGGCCTCCCGCTTTCCTAAATTTTCCTTGGAACTTTCCTGAAGTTCATCTAGAACTGCTAAGAAATCCACTAAAAACTTCTCTCAAAATTGTATATATGATATTGAGATATGTACACTAACCCCACAATTATGGATCACCTCCATTTGATTAACACGTTAGAGTGACTGATCCATAATTGTTTTTAGCTGATAATCCATAATTGTGGGGTCAATGTACCTAAAGTTTCCTCTGAAGCTATCTTCGTGAAACATGTTTGCAATGTTCAAGCTTCATCGATATTATTGATAATCACAACTTAATTTGATGTAGTTTGAGGATGGTTTTTCATTTCAAATTTTAAGTAGAGTTGCGAACTTGTGGTTGTTCAATGCTTGATGTTGCATCTTTGAAAGCTGAGCAAAAGTTATTCAAATAAAAGGTTATTTCGATGATTTTGAGCCTTTTATAAATTCAGCTCCCACTGGGTGTTGAACTGGCATAAAAATCCATTTCCGTAGAAGCTCGATGTTGTTAGTTGTTGGAAAATTTAACCTGCTAATGGTCCTCTGCTGGCCGAAGAAGTCGTCTCCACTCTACTCGATCCATGGCCACAGTTTGCCAGCCTCGTAGTCTGCGAAGGGTCCGCAGGTCACCTTCTACTTGGTCGATCCACCTTGCCCGCCTCTTCTTCTTCTTGTTCCTGTTAGGTCGCTTTCTAGAACCATTTTCACTGGGTCGTCGTGGGTATGTGCGTCTCTTAATAGATGTTACACCTAATTGCGTCTGACAAAATTTAACCTTCGAGTAGATTGGTGCGTCCGCTCGATCCAACTGTGTACAACAAAAAATCAATCCATCAATCCCTTGAGCCCCTAACGGATAGTGGTATTAGTATGCGTGGGCGAGCTACCAGTTACGCCAAACCGACGATCAAATGCATCAATGACAAAAGCTGATACGTTCCTTTGAAAAAATAATCGAGATTTAGTATAAAGAAAATTCCCATAAAAGGGCAGCCCGCAACTCAGATTGAGAGACGCTGGTCTATGCAGTTCATAAACATCGAGTACTTCTAGGAAATTTGAAACAGAATCAATCAACTTTGTGCAACTACTAAAAAACCTTTTTTTTTCGAATCATTTCTCGTTCACAACACCAATTTTAAAACGATTCCAACTCAATGTACACCTTTTCTCCCAACCAGATTCCTGAACCTCAAGGACAACGTCATCAAGCAGTTTGACCAGCGAAACATCTCCCCCTTCGCCGGTCTCAACCTCTACAAACTGGACACGACCGGTAACCAAAATCAGCCCTTCACCCTGAAGGAACTGTCCACCATGAAGAACCTCCGCTCGCTCGCGACGTCTCACCTCCAATCCATGTCGCTGAACGCCGAAGACTTCACCGACTTCAGCCCCGAACTGGAGGAACTCAAAATTACCCGCGCCGGTCTAAAGTCCATCAAAAACCGAGCCTTCACCAACCTGCGCGGCCTGAAGCGGCTGGATCTCAGTGAAAACCGAATCGACAGCATCGAAGCGAATGCCTTCAACGAAATCGGTCACACCCTGGTTTCGCTTCGCATTTCCCACGGTTTGGGCATGCAGTTGTTGCAAATTCCGCACGAATCATTCCGCCAACTGACGGCCCTGGAAGCGCTGGATCTGAGCAACAATAAGCTGAAAACGCTCAACGATAACAGTTTCCACTTTATGAAGAATCTCGTTAGTCTGGAACTGCATGACAACCAGATCGATAGCCTGCAGAAGGGCACCTTCCAGTCGGACATCCACACCAAACTGACGATGATTTCGCTGCGATACAACAACCTCAAGCAGATGCAGACGCACTCATTTGTGGATCTGGAAGACCTGAACGCCATCTATCTGGACGACAACCGGATCGAGACGATCGAAAAGCGAGCGTTTATGAATCTGGACGACCTGAAGCTGCTGAATCTGAGGGGCAACAAACTGAGCAAGATAGCGGACGAGGCATTCCAGGTGAGTTCTCAAATTTTTAAATTCAACGTCAGTGTTAATCTTAGACGAAAAAAACTGTATTTAATCAAATTAAATGCTTCCCCTTACTTACCTCTATTCTTGACCTGCGCACGCCTGCTCTTACCCATGCGCTTGTTACCTCCGGCGCCACCACCACCGCCACCAGCCTTCCTCTTTGGACCGTCTCCGAGGAACGACTTCTTATCGTTTCGCTTCGATCCCTTCTTCCGTCCACCGAAACCGAACTTGGAATTTTTGGCCACTCGCTTGGAATTGACTTGCTTTTTGCCAGCAGCACCTCGGGTCGAACCCTTCTTCTTATTTTTCTTGCCACCTTCCTCGTCGTCATCCAAAAAGTCCAAATTGGACAGCTTGCCCTTGCGGAACTTTTTGATATCGTCCAACATCTTTCGGCGCTCTTCGTCTCGCTTCTCCGTCGCCTGTCGTTGGATTAATTTACCAATACGACGCTGTTCGCGCAGTTGCCGTGTTCGTTCGGATTTCGCGATACCTTCCTGCTTGGCCAGCAGCACCTTCCGGATGCGCTGCATGTGCTCGTCGGTCTTTGCCATCTCGGCAAAGTAATCGTCCGGTCGTTTAGTCACGATTCCCATGTCGTGCAAACGCTTGATTCCCTCCACCGCGGCAGCCTGGGCCTGTCGGTGGAACAGAATTTCCCGCTTGAAATCATTCAGAACCGCGTCCTGCCCCGGTACGACGTAGGGTATCTTTTTGTTTCCCTTGAACTGGTTTTCGCGTTTCTGTTCGTGCTTTTCGATTTGAATGGCCAGCTCCGGAGTGATGGGAGCCAGCTCGTTCACCAGATCCAACCGCTCAACCCACGGTGCTTTCAGGATCATCGATTCCAGGGCACTTTTCAGCTTGGCGGGATTGTTCACCAGTTCCGTCCTGTCCTTGGCTATGACGTTGAGACCGGGTTTGAGCAGTCCCTTGGCCAGGGCTTCCCGTAGCTGCAAGTGAAATGGAAGAACATTGATGGATTAATCCGCGAATCGGTACCAGCGGTTGGAGCACTTACCTCGTCATCCTCGTCGTAGGACACGTAGCTGGAGTCGGAATCATCACCGTGGACGTCGAAATCGGTCATTTTCGGACCTTTATTCGATGGAAATCACGGGGAAAAACTAATTATATTGCAAACAAATTCAACAGCACCGGCGCAGCAACGATAAACACATGTGCTTCGCGGAGCTCGTTTGTTTTGGAAATGTGCTGCTTGTCAAAAGCGCGAAGCGAACCGGGGGGTGAGCGAAATGATGAGACAACATATGGCAATGGCGCACAACTCTATGCGCACCATACAATCGAATTGGGGTGAATTTGTAAGGTTTCCGCGGGAAGGCGAGGCAATCAGAGAACTTTTCATATCAAAGGTCTTCGTTAATAAAGAAAACTAAACTAAACTAACTATTAAAAGGCCTGTATAGAGATCGAAGCGACGTGAAAATATCATACAAAATACTGCATTTATACTGCATACAAACATTTCACTTCCCTTGGGAAGTGTTCCGGGGAATTGTAACTTTAATTTAACACTTCGAAAATAAATTATTATGGCCGAAAATCCCTCCTTTGTTGATCTTCCGATTTTCGAGACGGTATTTGAAAAAATGATTTCTGGTCGGTCTGAAATTATTGTGATCTGTCAAATTTAAGGGAAAATTCACCAAATGGAACACAGCCTTGTAAGCAGATGCGAACCAGCGAACTTAGATGTTGTGGATCACATCTTTTTCGCTTACGTTTACTTTTTCACGCATGCACATGCTCGTGAAAAGCCTGGTATACAGATCGAAGCGAAGTGAAATTTGAAGCACGTGAAAAATCATGAAATTTCGCTAGCTCAAATGGATGTGAAAGTTTACATCTCCGGTGAAGTGAAAATCTGACAGATACGCTCCTTATCAAAACGTCACCTTTCCACTTTGCTGCTGTGTTTTTCATGACCAGCTGGATTCGTGAATAAAGTATACGTACACTCAAAGAATAAATCTTTGGAAATGGCTCTAAATTTATTGCTTTGATCGCATGTAAAGTTCAAATTGATTAACCAACAACGAGATTGTTACAGATGTATAGCTTAGTAATCGTTGAGCATCGTAGGTAAAATTGAACAAAATGCAGCTCCAATACGGTGCACACCCTTGTGAAAGTGTTAATTCCTGACTGCGGCACAATACTCAATATAGGTACTCAAGTTAACCAATGCACATAATAGAACTAAGGCATTTGGGCCAAGCTTTAGAAGATCTCAGGAATCTCCCTTAAATGTCCTCTAAATTAATGACGTCGGTTGAACTTGTGTCCTCTGAATATGATTTTCTCCAAAACCACTCTCCCTACTAATTTATCTAATTTTATTCCAATAATTCTCATTCCAGAACCTCCCGGAGTTAGAAAAACTAGATCTGGCCTACAATTCGCTGCCCTCCTTCGACTTTGACTATTTCGATCAGGTACCATCGCAGAAAGATTGCATAACAAGCCCTCCACCCGCACACATGTTACTGACCACATTTACCTACAAAATATCGTTACAGGTCGGTTCGTTGACATCGCTGGAGGTGGACGTCAGCCATAATCGCATTAAGGTGCTCGGGGAATCGGCTGACCAGAACGCAAACGAATCCTCTCCAATGCAGTCGGCGCATGCCAACAACGGCCGCGAGCACGTGGTCTCTCATACCAACATCAAAACGTTGGATCTATCGAACAACAACGTTAGCAAAATCGTCGGTGGCTATTTCAAGCCAGTGGAACTATCATTGATGAAACTTTCATTGGCCGGTAATCGGATTAGCTACATCAGTCGAGACGTGTTTGGAAATATGCAACATTTGCAGTGGTTGAATCTGGAGAGCAACATGATCAACGATGTCGATTTCGATACGTTTAAAAATACGAAAAAATTGCAGGTATTGAAATTGTCCAACAACATGATTTCCGATATCCCTACGGACCTATTCCGCAATGTTTACGGTCTTCGGGTGCTTGAAATGGCATACAACAACTTGAAATATTTGCCCGACGGTCTGATTTTGGAGGAAGGTTTGGAGAAGTTGGATCTGTCCCATAATCAGTTTACGAAGATTCCGGTGACCTCTCTGTCCAACTTGGCCGCTTTGGCACTCTGCGAACTTGATCTAAGCCACAACCACATTGGAGCTATTCACAGTATTGATTTGTCCAATAAATTTAGGGTAATTAGTGTAACAAATTACCTCCACCAAAGTATACTGAATAACCTGTGAACCATTTCAGTCCCTTTCCGTTCTGGACTTGTCCAACAATCGACTGGTCCGGTTGGAGGATGCTGCATTTGCTACCCTCCCACGTCTATCACTGCTCGATCTATCTCACAACGACGAGCTTGAAGTGATGGGAAAAGCCTTCATAGGTCTGGAAAACAGTCTCATCGAGCTGCGTCTAAATAACGTTTCACTTAGTGCCGTCCCAGAGCTATCCAATCCATCGCTACGTGTTCTTAAAATATCGCACAACGATCTGCCGTCCATCCCACCGGAGCTAGCAGCCAATATGTCATCTCTGCGGGAGCTTGATCTGTCCGAGAATGACCTGACCCACGTCCCACTGATCACCCATTCGTTGCCCAATTTAAAGTACGATATAAATTCTTACAACCGCTGGATCCGTTTCAAATTTTTAATATCTGGAAATTTCAGATCGCTATCCCTGGCTGGAAACCCCATCACTACCATGACGAACACCAGCCTTCTCGGAGCTGCCGACACCCTGGAACACCTTGACATAGCCAATCTGAACCTGAACGGAATTGAGGTAGTAGTATTCTGCATGTCATGAGCGTAACAGTAAGCGTAATCTCCATTTCAGAATGGCGTCCTCAACAAGCTGCACTTCCTGAGAACCCTGCGGATATCAACCTATCCGAACATCCAACACTTTAATATTCCTCGAATTCTGGAGAACGCCCATAATCTACGAGAACTGTGGATCGAAGCTCCAAAACCACCATCGCATGATCGCTCGGGGTCGTCATCTGCTGTTCCAAAAACTCCGAAACCAGTCTCACTTCCATCGAGCGATATGCGCAGAGAGATGGAAGGCATTCTACCACGTAAACTGAAAAGTATCACCTTCAGCGGTTCCGGATTCAACCGTCTAGCGGACAACGTCCTCAAGGGAATTCAAACAGCTAGCCTGCATGTATCTTTGTACAATACCTCCATGGCAGACTTACCCAACAACTTCTTCAAAAACATCGGAAAGAGTGTTCGGAACATTTCTCTAGACTTGGAGTTCAACAACGACCTGCTGAAAGCACTTCCCAATCCTAACTCCGCTCACTACTTGCACCTGCCAGAGCACGTGTTCCTAACCGATCTACGAATCTCCGGAAACTCACTGTCATGTGACTGCGAAATTGGGTAAACCTTGTCTACCATCTACACCAATCTATATTTTCCTAACAATTGCACAACCTTTCAGTTGGATCGAATTTTGGCAACGGAAGCGCCGTCAGTACATGTGTCCTGCTCAACCGTGGACGGAGAACAGCAGCTTCAACAGCTACTACAAGCATCAGATGAGTGCGCTGATGGCGCACGCCAGTGACGATTGCGAAGATTCGGCCGACAATCTGCGGGAAGCCACGTGCAGCAACAAGAAGGACGAAAGTCTGCTGGAGGTGCTGAAAAAAGACCTGGAATGTGGGTGGGGAAGTGCAGCGACCAAGCTGGGAATCATACCGGCGATAGCCTTCGTGTCGGTGTTTGTCGTTCTGCTGATCTGACTTATCCGGTATCTGTTCAAAATGTACAGCGAGTTCTATGATTATCTGGAGCAACTCTACGGTGACCGAAGTGCCACGAATGGGTCCGCTGCAGCCGTTTCCTACGTGGACGATACGTGCGATTACGACCTTGAACTGGAGGAACTATAGAGCTCGGGATGTCATTGTTTTGCGTTTCGTCATTTTAGTCATTGTTTTTCTGTTTCGTTGAATCCTATTTTATCAGTTGATTGCAAAGGAACGTTTGTTTTAACTTTTAGCTTTTTAGGGTGTTTTTTTTTTTTATTATGAATGTTTTAGCATTCCAACGGTGAATTCAATGTGCCAAGTTGTTTATAGAATAAAGCAACGGTTTAGTAAAAAAAAAATCGATGTGATGTGAGCTCGCACAGCTTTTCAAAAACGTGTCCGAACTTCCTTTTCAATATTGTTGTGTGGCAATGAACGTTAAGTTTGCTTTGTTTGGATTTAGATTTTTATGCTTTTTTAATCCTTATGCTTGCAATATTGTATTCAATCCGATATTGCGCATTTCTCATTAAGCTGTACAAATAAGCGCGTTTTCAGTTATGTAAACGCTCCTATAGTTGCGGTACGTTAGAAGCGTTAGGTTCCTATAGTTGTGTATTGAGTATCCATACACAATTATAGGAACCTAACGCTTCTAACGTACCGCAACTTAGGAGCGTTTCCCCTAAATAAATGTGATAAAAGTGCGAGTTTCCGTCTAATCGTCTTTGTGCCTTCGATGCTATTATTCCGTATGAGGTAAGCAATATTGTGATTCTTAAGAAAAATCCACATAATGCCCAACAACTTATGCGCCGATCAGTTGCGCGCCGGGTTGTGCGCCAGCTATCTTGATGAATATGTAAACAAACAAACGTCAAAAAAAATCCGTATCGAACAGCAAATTTTCCGAGTTTGTTCTATTCATAACAGTTTCCAAATCCATACTTTCCATAACATTGACAAAATGTATCGAATTAAAGAAGAGGTACTTGGCCGACATGCATCAACCAATACGAAGTATCACGTGCTGTACGGGTTCTATTTCCTGAGCTTGTCCAAATCGCAATTGGCAAAAATGTACGGGAAGCATCACACTACAATTAGCAGCTGTTTGCAGTTTGGAGCAGAGAAACGACGGTGGTTAATCGAACAGTTTAAAAAAAAATCCGACATTATTCTTAGATGAGGCCTGGGATAGTTTTGAGAAAACTTTCAACTGCTCCATCAGTACGACCTCTGTTTCCAGAATACTACACGAGCAAGGATATACGTGGAAAGTTCTAGAGCGTCGGGCGATCCAGGTTCAAGAATCTCAGATTTGTCATTTCGTCAATGAGCTGGCTGCAATAAACTGGGACCTACATCACCTTATCTTTTTGGACGAAGTATCGATCGACAACAGAGGTATGTTGCGGAATCGAGGCTACGCCAAGGTCGGCGAAAAATTGATTTACAGGGGTGAATTCAACCGCAAAGCCAGAGTATCCTTACTCTGCTTCTTGGGCCAGACAGGAATGAAGAACACGTACTTGACGGAAGGAACTTTCACGAGGGCAAAGTTCTTTCAATGTTGTCGTAACTTTGCCAACAGTGGAGAAGTTTCTCGACACCCTGGAGTTAATTCGGTCTGGATCTTGGATGGGGCTAGAATTCACTGCCATCGACGAATAGTTGAGTACCTCCGGTCATTGGGAATCCATGTTATCTTTTTGCCTCCGTATACACCGTTTTTCAATCCAATCGAGTATATTTTTGGATACTGCAAGAAAAAACTACAACGTGTCTACGTAGAAAATAGCTCTTCGGATCTCACAAGAACCATTTCTGCGACGTTAAATACATTCACGAACTTTAACTGCACTCGTGTATTCCGCAAATGCGGATATCTGCCAGGTGGGAAATTCAATCCGGCAAACGGACTAAGTCAAAATATCGAATCATTGGGATTTGAGAATGTACGTAATAAGGATTAATAAACAATAAATCAAATAATCAAATGTTGTTCACCTTTTTTTATTTCATAAACTCAAAACAAAGAGATGTTCAATAAGCAACAGCTTCAATCAGTTGGTCGTCCCGAATGCGTATGGAATCGTTCGGAATCAGGATCAGCAAATCGTTATTGATGGTCGACATCCAAGCAGTCGGTCACTTCCTCGGCGAGTTTCTGCCCAAAGCTATCTTCAGATACAGCAATACTGCCAGACACATCTGCTAGCAATGAAGTGTTAGTCGCATCGTTTGCAATGCGGTCAAGCGCAATTGCATCGCCTTAGCATATGTCATAAGCTGGTCTAAATCTGCTTGCAGGCCATCCAACAATTGTTTATACCCTGAATTAATATTTTGGGCAATGCATACATCCTGACGAGTGTGATTCAGCACGTTTTGAGAGCATGAGGGAACCGTCTGGAACAAATGTATCAGATGTTGGGGAGGTACTCGCAACTTCAATTCCTCTCGTTCAAGCGCGTCTTTGGTCAGTAAGTACGAAGCCCATACAGACAAGTTGATGTCCGATGAAATGTAGGATAGCTTGTAGAGTTCCTTCAACTCAGTGGACAAATTACTGTTTGCCTGGTTGGATGCTGCTCCTGCTCGGTCACGCTCCTCCGGTTTTATCAGCTGCACTCGCAGTGTTTCGTACATAGCGGCTGAGGTCACCGACTCCGAATAAATGTGCACAAACACGTTAATATTTCTGTTCAGAAATTTCTGCATTTTGTCTGGCTTTTCTAGCAACTGTAATGGTTTAAACATGCGTTTCGAGGCTTTATCTTGGAAAGAGATGAACTTATCCATATCGCCGACTTCTGGGTTCAAATCATCATTCCAGTGCACGGTAAATTGATCAGCATCTCCACCAGCGAGTGATTCAAACACGGCCTCTCTGCGAATGAACTTTTCACAGTAATCCCATACAGTTTGCATAACCTCCTCAGCTGATTCACAGTTCACTTGCACTTTTCCCACAGAAGGACCTTTTTTGTGGCCCTTGAAGTTTCTGATGAATACAGTTGCTGGGAATCGAAATATTTGTTTTGGCTCCGCTTGTTCACTTTCACTTCCAGGGCTTCCGGGCGAAGCAGAATCCAGTGTATCCTGGAACGATCGTTTTGCCTGCTGCACATTTGATGGTCCTGCTTCTGCTTCCTCCTCCAGAAATTCTACCTCGTAGTCAACCTCCCGTCCCTCCAGTCCTACAAAAGTTGGAGACATATGCATGATGGCACATCTGAAAAAGAAACACTTATTATGAAATGCATTTCATTTGAATTGATACGAAAAATATTTTACCTGCGATTCAAAGCCGACGTCGAACGGGCACAGCAGAAATCAAATGAAGCCGCTAGGAAAAATGAGTTGACAGTTTGTTTTGTTTTGTTTGGTGAAGGGTAACTGATGGGTTGTTGACTATGTACGATTGCAAGTAATTTTTTTTATTTGTTGATTTGCAACTGTTTTATGTGAAATTATGATTCACTGGCCCGAAATACATATAGGTAATAACGAGTTGATGCTTTAAGAAGGGTAACGTCAATATTTAAAGACAATTTTTGAAGCAATATAAGTCACATACCCTTGCGCACAAAAGAGTGACAGCTGAGCAAATCAAGCTTTTGCTAGAATTTCTCGGGAACCACAATATATGCGTCGAAGACATCAAAACGATTTGACGGGATCGTGAAACTTTCATAACACTTTTTAGCATTTTTGGGTACAATCTAGTTTCAGTTGCAACCAAGAATAAAATTCAGTATTTCAAGAAAGCTTTGTGGACAAGACCAAGAGAATTCCAAGGATAAGTTCTCTATGGCACTTCGTGGGAAAGTACAGTGTCTTTGATTACAATTTCTGATGACTTTAGAAACAAGATCAGTGCTCGAGTTGCCCTACTGAACATAGAAAGACATTTGACAGTTCTTTGTACCAATGCATACATCTTTATATTGTGTAACAATCAGCGAAATAGAGAAAACATCCAGCCCAAAAGATTCCCTAATGGTGGTAAGCTCCAACCGGTATTATCCTCGGATTGAATCCCGAACAAGAATATTCGGAGTTGGTTGGAAATGCTAACATGAAGCTTTAGTGTGATGATTTATTAGCTAGAGAATGATCTTTAGAAGAATGTAGGTGGATAGTTCCGTTAGAGTACGGCAGTATGAAAATTGAATAGAAGTTGAAAATGAGCGAAGGGCCATTAAAGCGACAGTTTTCAAGATGACGGCCCTTCGCTCATTTTCAACTTCTATTCAATTTTCATACTGCCGTACTCTAACGGAACTATCCACCTACATTCTTCTAAAGATCATTCTCTAGCTAATAAATCATCACACTAAAGCTTCATGTTAGCATTTCCAACCAACTCTGAAAATCGTTAACTTCGCGTATGAAGTAACATAAAAAACACTTTGAAGAATATTCGGCTGCTTTGATGCCGACATCAGAGTTAATCAACACGACTCTAAACAAAAAAAAATTGGCAGATCATTCAAACACGGTATTAAAGGTTAATCCGAGTTGGAGCTTACCGCCATAAGACCTGGGACGGGAGTGACGGGACTTGACAATCGGGTAGCGATTTCGAGCCAATTTGCTGTCACATCAGTGCCAGTTGCTGATTGGTCGATCTGACAGTAGCAATCGTTGAATAAAAAGGATAGAGGGATCACATCAATCTGACTGGCAGTGATGCCGGAATCAATGTTGACGTCGATGTTGTTAATTATTTACACAGAAAAAAAAGTTGTTGAATATTACATCCAAACTGCTGCAACCAGGTCAATCCATCGGTTGTGTAATATAACGTTGTACGATGTACATCGATTTTGCGAACAAAATTACATCCATTGATGTAATATTGTATCTGCTTTTTGCTATTACATCATTATTTCATACATCAGCTTGAATTACATTGATCGATTTTACATTTTTTTTGCTGTGTATATTTGCGAAAGGAAAGTTAAAAAACAGAGTCCACGGCAGCGTTGCCAGATATACCGATTTATCGGTATTTATACCGATTTCCGAACTAGATACCGATATACAGATAAGGTTCCTCAGAATACCGATTTTTGAGATGTTATACTGATTTATACAGATTTTTTTAAATAATAAAAAAAAATTAAAAAAGTTCTGAAACTTCAGAAAACACCGGAGGCAAACCAGTCTCAGGCTGAAAGCCTCAATAATAAATAAAACTGAAGTTAGTTAAACTTCAGAAAATCCCAGACTTTTAAGTAAGTTTCGATAAATTAAAGAATGTTTCACCAACTTCTGTTAAAATTCTAAAACCCGGTCCAGCGAACTCCAGTGAACTTAAGGAAACATCATAAATATTTTGGATACTTC